TGTCATTGGTTCACCCATAGCTATCAACATGGCTAAATTGTTATCACGCTCATCATCAATTGAGGTGATGATGGGTTCAGCTCTTGCCTATTTTAGATCGAATGTAGCGTCTGTGAGAAATCAACTGAATGTTTAGAGTGACAAGATGTGGTCTTGTGGATAGCACAACTCTGAGGTGTCAGAAGAAATGCAAAGCGATAATCGTGTAGGGATGCAATTTAATAATAGTTGCAGTAAGGATGAATGAAAGATGTCATTTTGTGAAGTATTTCAGCTGAAAAAGATACAAGAACATTGGTGCCGAGAATTAAACTCTCTATTCCAACATAAAGCTGTGTACAAAAAAATCTCCCAAATGAGAGGCAAATCTTCCACCTTTGTGCTCGTATAAGATCTTTACCCACTCATCACATAAACTGTGCTTTTTTTTTGAGAGGAGCATTGCCCATTTTGTCCCAAGCTTAGTTATTCCATGTTAACTATGGTACATTCACATAGTTATTTTCTCATTGAGATGTCCAGTCCTAAATCGTGTGAATATAGTCCTTCATCACATGATTTGGAATATTTGAAATGCATCACGGGTTGCATTGTCTCAAAGTTTCCAAAGCTGATGTTTCTCAATTTTTTATGGTTAATTTTGGATATTAAAAGTCAACTGGGGTATTCGGAGATCTTACTGGTAATATCAAAATGGTCTTTCATGACATCTCAATAAGCAGTGTCCCTTCTTTAAGTTCTGAAGGGGAGTCATACCAGACTTGAATTCTGTTTCTTTGTCCGCAGATGCTACCAGACTTTCTCCAGCATTCTGTGTTTGTTTTAGATTTCCAGTATAGGAATATTACAGGCTTAACAGGGTAAATGCTGACAGGACGTTTCCCTTCAAGGGAGTATCTAAGATGGAGGGTATAGTCTCAGAATAAAGGGGAATTAAGATAAAACGGAGATGAGGAAGAATTTCTTCTCTCAAAATGTGTGAGTCATTGAAACTCCTCACCACTGAGTCCTTGGAGATATTTAAGGCTGAGATAAGTGGAGGATCAGTGGGGGAATCAAGGGTTACAAACAAAGAGCAGGAAAGTGGATGTGAGGAGTGTCAGATCAGCCATGATCGTATTGAACGGTACAGCAGGCTTACGGGGCTGAACAGCCTACTCCTGTTGCTATTTCTTCTGGTAGTACCTGCAGTAATGTGCCTTTATGTCTTGTTCTAATGTTTCATCCAGGAGACATCACATCTCACATTCAACACAGCACTGAAATGCCAGAGTTGTGATCAAGTGTTTCTATGACTCCTAAGCTTCAGACTATAAACGAAGTAAAGTCAACAAGTGTGTCTTCTCAGGGATAAAAGCAAAATTGAACTCACTTCAGCAGCAAATATTCTCCCAAAATTAGAAATGGTTTCCAACACTTAATGGAAAAGCTTATGAAGCTACAAAATAGGAAGTGAATAAACTTGCAAGTAACAGTGACTCATATAGCGACTGGTCTTCAGCACATAAAAGTCACAAGGCCACTTTGATATCTCGCAAAGTAAATTGTTTTCACACTCTGATGTTCCATTGACAGCATTCTTGGTGTTTATTGCTCAGTAAGTAACTGAAAAAAGTCATTTCAATTAACAGTAATTATGTAGTTTCAGGATTGAGCAGGAACTATTGATAATATCATTCAAAGCTCGACCCTTCAAGCCCAAAACTGAACGTTTTTCATTGGAGTACAACATATTCACTTCTGGAAGGTATTCACTACTTCTAGCAACTTGAACCAGAGAGTTTTAAGAACTGCAATGGCAATATTGACATTGCTTGGCGAGCTTGTTTTTACAGGCAGGACCATCATTTCAGAGCCTGGTAAAAATCACTTCATTTAAAATGGACAACAACATACTCAAGAAATTTTTACAAAAAAAATTACATTTTGGTTCCACACAGTGCAGATTCCCCACACGTATAATTTTCTTCTCTATGCGACACACCATGGGTAAAGCGTGAGGGAAATGACATTGTGGAACCACATGAAGATGTGTGAAGAACACTGTGCATCACATCACCTTTTTGAAGACATTGGTGATTCTGGCAACAGACACAGGTTGCTTCAGTCATTCTCGAAAGTCTCAGCCCAACTGAGAATGAGCAGTGCTTTTCGAGTAAATTTGACCACACACATTTTTTGAAAAAAAAATGTTCTAGTTGACAGATAAAGTGTTTTGCTTTGTTGTCGTGTTTGTGTATGTTGTTTTCTTGTTCATTTTTCCCTCATCATCCCACAGATATCCAAAGAAAAATTATTTGTCCACCATTTAGTTGGGCATCAGTCAACTGCATTAATTAATGAAAACCATCACAAATGTCGGAGAACTTAAATAAAAGCAAACACTTTATGTTAACAACCATGTTGTTTGATGTTTCAGATGCTAATTTTCAGCTGACAGCCAGGTGACACTCAAAAAGACTCTAATAGTGAGAATTCAGGGCAATCAGGTTCTGGGAAAGGAAATGGGTGGCACCGACAAGTCCAGAGAATCCTGGATATCAAGGGATTTACAGAATTGGCAAAGTTTAAAAAAGAAAGTTTCAACAGATACCGAGGGTTGAAAACAGCAGATGACTTTTAAGGCTTGAGAAACTGTAACGGGTTACTGCAAAAAGCAATTAGGAGAGCGAAGAGAGGGTATGAAAAAAGACTGGTGGCTAACATTAAGGGAAATGCAAAGGCATTTTATAAGTATATTGGGGCAAGAGACAAACAGCAAGGCCCATTTGAGACCAAAGTAGCAATTGGTGTGTAGAACTGGAAGACATAGTTGAGAATTTAAGTGGTACTTTGCATGTGTATTCACTATAGAGAAGGACAATGAAGGTACACAGTTCAGAGAGGGGAACTGTGATATACATGAGTAAATGAGCATTGAGATGAAGGAGGTCGTAGTGGTTTTAGCAGGTTTGAAAGTGAATACATCTCCACGCCCAGATAACGTGTATCCCAGGCTGCACCATTATTCAGGAAAGGTGGGAGGGATAAACCAAGAAACCTCCTTATTTTTATATTCCATTCTCTTTGAAATAAAGACAAACATTTAATTTGTTTTTCCAATTACCTGCTGAACTTGGATGCTAGTTTATTGTGATTCATGCATCTCAGTTCAGGTCACTATATTTGAAGAACCATGCAGTTCTGGTCACCATATGCTAGGAACCATGTGTTTGGAGAGGGTTCAGAAAAAAATTACCGGAATGTTGCTGGGAATGGAGGGTGTAAGTTATTTTTAAAAAAGGCTAGATAGGCCAGGATTTTTTTCACTGGAGCATAGGACGCTGAGGGGTTTATAAAATCATGAGGGGTATAGACAACGTGAATAGCAAGGGTCTTTTCCCTCGGGCAGGGGATTCAAAACTAGGGGGCATATTTTTAAAGGGAGAGGAGAAAGTTTTAAAAAGGACATGAGGGATAACTTGTTTACACAGAGAGTGGTTTGTATTGGAATGAACTGCCAGAGGAAGTGGTGGATGCAGGTGCAGTTTCCACATTTAAAAGACATTTGGATAACTACATGAACAACAAATGTTTGGAGGAATGTGGGCCCAGCACAGGCAGGTGGGACTATTTTAGTTTGGGAACATGGTCAACATGAAAGAATTGGACCGAAGGGTCTTTTTCCATGCTGTATGACTCTATACCTCTATGTTGGTTGCAGGGAAGGTGAAGTGGATTGTATCTGGGCTGGAGTGGTTCAGCAATGGAAGAGCTGGGGTTGTTTTCCTCAAAGCAGACAGGGCCGAGTGGGGACCTGACTGAGTTGTGCAGAGTTATGCAGGGTTTAGACAGGGTGATAGGGAGAAACATTTTCCCTTTGTGGAGGGGTCAATAATTAGGGGGCACAGTTTTAAGCTAAGGTTTAGAGGGGATTTGAGGAAAAATGTTTTTCACCAGACAGTTGTGGGTAACTAGAACTCACTGCCTGAAAAGGGTGCAGAGGTGGGAAGCCTCAAGACCTTGAACAAGTATTCAGGTGGTCCATTGAAATCCCGTAGAATACGACGCAACGGGGCAGGTGCTGGAAAGTGGACTGAGAATGGATGGATGTTTGATGATCTGCTCGGTCAAAATCGACCAAAAGGGCCTCTTTCCATGCTGCGTAAGCTATGACTTTGTGAAAGACTATTACTCGTTTCAAAAGTTTCCAATTTTTTATCAGATAGTAAGAACTGCCGATGCTGGAGTCTGACGTAACACAGTGTGGAGCCGGAGGAACACAACAGGCCAGGCAGCATCACAGAAAGTTGACATTTCGGGTCGGAACCCTTAAGGGTCAGCTTTCCTGCTGTTGTGATGCTGCCTGGCCTGCTGTGTTCCTCCGACTCCACACTCTGTTATCTCCAAACTTTTGTACTGTCTCATCTAAACCATAAAAAAAAAACATGGCAATGGAGTTATAAGTCTAAACAGTGGTCCGCTGTATGGGACAAGAGCTACCCAGCTCTTCACAATGACAATCCGTCCGGGGAGAAGTTCAATGGACTGGATGTGAACACACATCTCTGTCCGGCACAGCTGAAACACTTGTTAGATTTCAACAAAACTGGGAGAGAACTAAAATACAAGTTACATCGACCAGTCCATCTGAGACTTACCATTCCTTGGAGCTCGATGTCTTGATCGTCTGTTAGTACGAGCACGATATTCCGTCTTTTACAGTGTCCGAAACGAAAGGACACGATCAGGAATAAAAGTGCGACCAACTTCATGATGTTGTGTCGGTCGGAAGAGAAGCAAGTGGGGATGGCTCGGTGTGTGGGTCGGGATTGTCTTGCCGGGGGTTTGGGGGGAGAGGAATCCCCCCCGCCGTCTCACACGGCAAGTTTCGAGCAGCTGTCGCTTCCTGGTTCCCTCCCCCTCCAAGTGGGACGGGAACAGCAGGAGGTGGAGTGAACAGACAAAGCCCGCAGCCAATCAGCCGGCCCACTAAAATGTCAGTCTCTCAATATCTTTCTGAAATGACCAGTTGGCGTGCTCGGTTCGTAGGGCAGGGCTCGCCTTCGGTGTGTGAACTGTGTTTTTCACTTGAGAGATTCTGAAACTCTCTTGGCTGGACTGGTTGCCATTTTAAATTCACTTTTTTCTTTAAAAAAAACGGAAATAAATCCAAACAGAGATAACCAACATAAAAAGTCAGACTGGTCTTTAACTTATTGCTCTCGGTGGACATGAAATATCTGACGACCGACAGATATCAATCCAACCCCCAAGAGTGACACCTTTTTAGCCACACGTTTTGGTTTCAAAGGAACATTTCTTCCACACGATGGAAGTAAATATATTTAACCTTTGTGTCAACAACATCTCCCACCATGGCAGTGGTTCAGACTCGTCCCTATCCCTTCCCTACAAAAACAAAGTCGCCGGAAAAGTTCAGCAGGTCTGGCAGCATCTGTGATGGAAAAAAAAGAGTTAATGTTTTGGGTCCGGTGATCCTTCCTCAGAACCTCCCTTCCCTACGCGTGCAATAATCTTCAATTGTAAAACTTCCAAACTCAACACATGACTCCAATACAATTCAAAATACCGCAGCCCTCATCCTCACCTGTCCAACATTTTGCGTTGTCGAGGCCTGAAGCGGACCGCTACTGAGCTAATGACGACATCTCTCAACTTATTTTTCAGTTCCCTCTTCCCCAAGTTCATGATCTCATCTAGGTTTTTGTCTTGTTGAAGGCACTCTCCTTTTCTCTCACTGGTTGTCACTCTCCACTCATAGGGGATGCAGTCTAGACCAGATTTCTAAAAGAAGCAAGCAGGAATTTGCAGATGCTCTTAGCATCTTCTAATACTGTCTGTTTAAGCAGGGTGCCAGAGAATTATATTGTTTAAGAAGGACAGCAAGAATCTGTTTGTTGAGAAAAATAATAGTCACACAGCACTGAAACAGATCCTTGGGTCCAACCACTCCATGCGCACCATAATCACAAACCCAACTTGTCCCACCTGCCTGAGCTTGACCCATATGCTTCCAAACATTGCTTAGACATGTACTTAGCTAAATGTCTTTTAAACATTGTTACCATACCCACATTCACTACTTCATCTGGAAGTTCATTTCATGCAGGAGCCAATCTCTGTGTAAAAAAAACTGCCCCGCATATCTTTTTTAAATTTTTCCCTCTCACCTTGAAAATATGCCACTTAGTCTTGGTCCCCCACCTGAGATAAAACACAAGTATCATTCACCTTGTCTATACTCCTCATGATTTTTCAGTCTTTATAAGGTCACCCCTCAACCTGCTATGCTTCAGTGAAAAGAAGCCGGAGCCTATCCAGCCTCTCCTTATAACTCAAACCTTCCATTCCTGGCAACATCCTGCTAAATGTTTTCTGAACCTCTTCAGCTTCACAATATCCTTCCATTTAAAGGGTGAGCAGAACTGAACACAGAATTCCAGAAGAGGCCTCTTTGATACAGAATAAGTATCATTAAAAAACAGCATATGGCATCGAAACAATATCAGTTCTGAATTTCAATTTGAAGATTTATACATTTTTGTTATCCAAACATTGAATGAATATGGGATAAAATATTTAGGCTACAGGTCTCAGTAAGCAACTAAGTGACCCATTTCTATGTTTCTGTACACTTACAGATCGATAACTTGGGACCAGTGATCTCAGAAGGACTGGAGGGAATTTGAGGAACAAGGTCTTTCTTCAGAGAATGGTGGGGGGGATGGATTTAATGTCTGAAAGGTCATCAGAAGCAGAGACTTTGATCATGGTTAGGTGAAAATGCCGTAACCTAAAAAAGCTACAGACTAAGAACTGGAAAGTGGGATGAGGTTACAACTACCTTTAAGTCAAATAGACATGATGGGCTGAATGGTGTCCTTCCGTGTTGTTAATGCCTAAAATTGTATTGTCAGCCAATATGCCTTTAGCGTCTCAAAGTCTGTGCAAAGTTTCGTTCTCTTCACCACTTCCCTTCTTGTTTTCACGAGTTCCGTCAACTCTGTGCCTGTGAGTCACCCCACCCTAATCTTGTTTTACCTTTTGTCACTATTTGGTCTATAGAATAGAAATTATTTTGAGACATCCAAATACATTTTTACGGCCTTGCTTTAATTGTGGCTTCGTATACAATTCCAGTGACCCGTGCAGTGCTCAATCATGCATATCAGAATGTCTCAAAGTGAGTGTCCAGACTTTACTAGCTCATTTCAGGCAGCTGGAAGATTTTAATATTGGAACATGGGAAGAGAAGGAGGCCATTCATCCCCTCGAGCCAGTTCAACATTCGATGAGGTCATGGCTGATCTGTAGCTTATGTACTTCCATTGGACCCATATCCCTTTGCTTACCAAAATGTACCTGTTTCAAATTTAAAATTAACAACTCATTGATTATTGATTTGGAATAGCGAGGAAATAAAGCTTAGCTCAGATTCACTACTCAGTGAGTCATGCTTGAAACTGTGTAGATCCTGGGGAACACAGGATGCTCAAGCTTTTTAGTTGGCCTCAACCATGATGACTAACTACTTAGAAATGCCATAAATGGAGGCTGAGTTTATGCAACCCATGGAACTGTATTCCAAAAACATCAATATTTTTACAAAAACTGAAGGAAGAAAAATATGAAACAAAATTGTACTTTGTCCAGAATTATAAGCCCAGACTCCTTCCACTCAAAATCTAAGGATGGAATCTTCCCAAGACCTGAATGACATGGGGCTGCAGTGAAAATTGGAAGAACGATATAAGATGTTGAGAGAAGCATTTCTCAGCTTCGAGACTGACAAATCTCATTTTCCAGTCAAGTCCCAAACATGAGATTCTGGACAGTGAGAGGATTATTAATGGAAATTATTGCTCATTATCACCTTCATTCCTGCCTAATGTCACCTCATTAATATGCAGCCTCCCATTCTCCCATTCACTGATAGAAACTAGACATGAAAACTCCTGACATGAAACTCAGAGCAGGTATCTAGCAGCTTGCTCCTGCGGTCCTTCATTCTAGACACCTGGCAATAAGATCTCAGCACGTGCTCCCTGCCAGCAGCTATACACACCCCAAATCCATGGATATTGATAACTAACAAGTATAAGATTCTCTGCATCACCATGGACATCTCTGATCCACATGCAACACAGTCCTACACTTTGCTGTGCACTGGTATCTCTCTTTGTAATGTTACTGCAAGGACACTGCTGACAGAGACAGTCACCCAGCTCATGGACTGGTGCAGGAACATCTCACTTGCTCTCAGCCCTCATTCATCTTATGCTAATCTGATGCTCACAGCATCTCTACCTTGCTTTATGCTGTATTGTTTTTCATAGCTTTGTCCCCTCAGCTGTGTTTTAGATTATCACGGACAAAAAGCCAGGCAGTTTGTCAAGATTGTCAGTCATCAGTCAAAGGGATAACATGTCATTTTACAAACAGTACTATGTGATTCTCAAAACTGCAATCTGTGCCAACTTTACACATAGCAAACACACTGCATGTACTGCAAGGATACCCCTTTGTCTCCAAATGAAAAGGGAGTCATCCTAAGTGAACAGGTCCTAGGGCATAAAGTCCAGGGCAGCTTCTGCTATCTGTTAGTTACTTGGGGAAATCAGGGTCATGGATTTTTTCCTTCTCGGTGGAATGAGTGAAGAAGTAATGAAGAAGATTGATGAAAGAGCGATGGATGTGATTTATATGAACTTCAGTAAGGCGTTCAACAAGGTGTTTCATGATTGACTGGTTAGCAAGATTAGATCACATGGAATCCATGGATACAGAACTGGCTCAAAGATAGATGACAGAGGATGGTGGTGGAGGGTTGCTGTTTGGACCAGAGGCCTGTGACCAGCAGTGTGCGGCAAGGATCAGTGCTGGGTCCACTGCTTTTTGTCATTTATATGAATGATTTGGATATGAATGCAGGAGGTATTGTTAGTAAGTTTGCAAATGACACCAAAATTGGTGGCGTGGTGGATAGTGAAGAAGGTTAATTCAGAGTACAACAGGACCTTGTTCAGATGGGCAAATGGGCTGAGGAGTGGCAGATGGAGTTTAACTTAGGTAAATGTTATGTGCTGCATTTTGGAAAGGCAAATCAGGGCAGGACTTTCCACTTAATGGTAAGGTCCTGGGGAGTGTTGCTGAACAAAGAGACCTTGGTGCCCAGGTTCATAGTTCTTTGAAAGCGGAGTTGCACATGGACAGGATAGCAAAGAAGGCATTTGGTATGTTTGCCTTTATTGGTCAGTGCATTGAGTATAGGAGTTGGGAGATCATATTGTGGCTGTACAGGATATTGGTTAGGCCACTTTTGGAACACTGCTTTCAATTCTGGTCTCCCCGTTATAGGAAAGATGTTAAGATGCTTGAAAGGATTCAGTATAGGAAGGATATTGCCAGGTTTGGAGGGTCTGAGCCAGAGGGAGAGGCTGAATAGGCTGGTGCTATTTTCCCTGGAGCATCAAAGGATGAGGGGTGATCTTATTGAGGTTTATAAAATCATGAGGGGCATGATGGGGCGAATTGCCAAGGTCCTTTCCCAGGGTGGGGGAGTCTAAAACTAGAGGGAAATGGTTTAACATGAGAGGGACTTAAGGGGCAACATTTTCATGCAGAGGGTGGTGTGTGTATGGAATGTGCTGCCAGAGGAGGTGGTAGAGCCTGCTGCAGTAACTACATTTAAAAGGCATCTGGATGGGTACATGAATAGGAAGGGTTTAGAGGGATATGGGCCAAATACTAGTAAATGGGCATAGATTAATTTAGGATATCTGATTGGCATGGACAAGTTGGAGTGAGGGACCTATTTCCATGCTGGACATTTCTGTGACTCTCAGTCAAATATTGGGCACCCTGCCATTAGACGTGGCTCTTTGAGCCCTGCTGTAGGCTGTATTCAGCTGTTATGAGACAGAATAGGATTAATTGAGATAAAAGTGGGTACACAGTTGTGAGTGCTGGTGCAGGTGTGGGAAAGATGATGAGATGTCCCAAGTAACTGAGAATTTTCAGAAGCCATGCAGGATTAATAAAGCGGGGGGTTGGGGTGATTGAGAGCATGGAAGAAGTTGCGTGCACCTGTCAGAATAGGAAAGCACCGGCTTTGGAGGGAATTGGGTGCAGAAATCCCGGCAGTGGTGAGTAGATTTGGTGAGCGGGAACATTGGGCTAATATCGGATGAGAGCGGCACTACAGGGTCATGGTGGAAAGTTAATGTGCTGAGTTTTTAATGATGATTGCACAATAAAAAGTGTACTTGGGCCTCCTGGAAAGAAACCCTCCGTTGAGTTGAACAAAAATGTCCTTCAGCCAAACCATCTTCAGTTGCTCCATCGTCAGATCAGAAGATCAGAAGTGGGTTTGTTTGCGAATGATTGCACAATGTTCAGCACCATTCATGACTCTTTAGTTGCTGAAGCAATTCATGCTCAAATACCACAAGATCAGGACAATATCCAGACTTGGGCTGACAAGTGGCAAGTAACATTTGCGCCACACAAATGCCAGGCAATGACCATCTCCAGCAAGAGACAATCTAACCACCATCTCTTGACATTCAATGACGTTACCATTACTGAATCCCCCACTGTCAACATCCTGGGGGTTACCATTTAGCAGAAACTCTGTTGGACTCACCACATAAACGCAGCGGCTACAACAGCAGATCAGAGGCTAGGAATACTGCGGTGAGTAACTCACCACTTAACTCCCCAAAACCTGTCCACCGTCTAAAAGGCACAAGTCAGGAGTGTGATGGAATACTCCCCACTTGCCTGGATAGGTGCAGCTTCAATAACATTTAAGGAATTGGATACCATCCAGGACAAAGCAGCCCGCTTGATTGGCACCACATCCACAAACATCTACTCCTTTCATGACCGATGCTCAGTAGCAGCAGTGCGTACTGTCTACAAGATGCATTTGAGCAACTCACCAAAGATTCTTCCATGTTACCTTCTAAAACCATGACTATCACCACTGAGAAGGGCAAAGGCAGCATTTACATTGGATCACCAACTCCAACATTTACATTCAGTTAACACCATTTACTTTGAATCGGTTTTTGCTTTGTACTGAGGAGTAGCCGATGTACGACCACACATGCTGTAATCGTGGACACTTTGTGTTGCTTGGCAGAAGAACCCTACTATCGAGCGAACCGAAGCAATGGCCATAAGTCATGTTGTGAAGCAATGAAAGTTCCTGTTGATGGTTATAGACATTTTTGTTGGCAAAAGAGGTGCCTCTCAAACAGGGCTGCTTTGGAGTTGATTTTACTTTGTTGGATTGTCAGCAAAAGTCTCATTTCGTTTTTGCATTCATGTGGGGTTCAGAATAGTTCACTTGTGGAAAACCTTGAATGCATCCAGAGAGTGTCGGGTGTTGAAGTTGCCTCAATGTTGCAGACCGAGTTGATAGACGTTTATGATAATGTTTTGCTGGGTGGAATCGGATTGTTTGCACTGTTGAGTAGACTGGGTTGTTGAAGGAGGAGGCAGAGGGTGAGTGCTCCGTGTCGCTGCCGGTCCCGTCTCCCCGGACACGAGCACGCGCCTGAGCGCCGGGCGTGAGCCACTTCCGCGGTTCAGCCGGTGGAGCGATTGTAAATGACGCTTGGTTTGGCTGGAAAAAAGGCTTCCTGTGTTGCAGTGTGGGTGCGCTCAACCGTTCAGTTACTTCATTTACAATGTCTCCCATTTTTGTCAGGCTTAAAATGCAGCAGCTTTCAGCTTCTAGGGAGGGCTCCCTCGGTTTTGCTTGTGTGTTTTTGTATGTCTGTATCTGTGTCTGTCTCTCTCTCTGTGTCTGGGTTTTCTGGTTGTCACAAGCTGGCAACAGCAACACTCCTGAAGCTAAGTGACCTGCTGAGGCAATGGCCGCGACCATCACTGTCCCAGCAGCAATGGAAACAGGGTCTTGAAAGTTACATGTGGTGCATTTCACTGGGGACTGCCAGTCTTTTCTCTCTCACGTTTGACCGTGTTGCTTCTTGTCCCTTTCCCAGCTCAGCATGGCCTTGCTGCCTCGGAAGAAGAAGCGGAAAGATCCAGGTCTTCCTGGTGCCTCTCACTCTCGGGCCGGAGATGGTCCCCTCACAGTGGCAAAGTTCTCTGAAGTTGGCATATTTTTGGTGGAGAGGAAAATGGGCTCGAGCAGGAGAAGCTTTCTCACACAGCTTGCTCGGAAAAAGGGGTTTCGAGTGGAAGAGCGGATGAGGTGTGTGAGCTGGAGCTATGCATTGCACCAAAGGTTTGATGACTGATTGTAGAATCCCTACAGTGCAGATAGAAGCCATTTGGCCCATCAGGTCTGCACCAACCCTCTGAAGAGCATCCCACCCAGAGCCACCTTTTCACCCTATTCCCATAATCCCATAATTACTGTGGCCAAACTACTGCACACCTTTGGACAGTGGGAGGAAAACGGTGCACCTGGCAGAGACCCACACACACACGGAGAGAACATGCAGACTCCCCACAGACAGTCAGCCAAGACTGGAATCAAACCAAAATCCTTGGTGCTGTGAGGTAATAATGCTAACCACTGCTTCGTCATCTTTTAAACCATCCTCACCGTGAGTTTGACATAACTTGGATATATCCCATGAATTGTCATCAAGTGTTGCCTAGCACTGCTAGCATGTGGAAAGAAGCCATTTAACTTATTTTGGTAGGAGGCCATTCTGGCTCTCCAAATGAGCACAGTGATTTAGTACCATTTTCCTGTGCTTTCCCCTAAAATCCTGCACATTGTTTCTGTGTAAATCATTGTCATTGCCCTCTTGAATACTCCCTGTGAGCTCTTACTATTATCATTATTAAATATTAGTTGGTAGTATTAAACTTCAGTTGCTTAAAAAAATTGTCAAAACTTTTCACCATGCAGTCATCATGATAGTTTGTAAGATGACATATCGAAGGTGAAAACCAAAATGGAAATTGCATGGGCAAGAGTGTGATGGGTTGGCAATTGGTCTCTTGATTGAGAGTTGAGTTGCCGTGAAGCAGGCTTTGGATAATGTTGACTGACAATTCACAGCCAGTCTTTGTTTCAATTTTAAAATGGGCAGGTTGACTCAGTTTGATGTGGGCATTGCCCTGAGAAAAGAACCAGTGAGCGGCTGTGACCTATTCTATTGCAATGGAACAGTTGCAGTGCATGTCGCTGTTCTTGGGGTCTGCAAAGAACAGGGTCCTGTGTATTCATCTGTGTAGCTTCTGGTACGTGCATGTGAGTCATGCTGTGAACCTTGACTGACCATACCGAATTAGTTGTCGGTGTCGTTTGTGGCAAATTGTTTCCATTTGCAGAGTCACATATAACACTGGACACAGTTGCGATGGCTCGTGAGGACAGTCAGTATCCTTGTTTGTTTCAAAAAGGGGCCATGCTGTCTGATACAATCCACCCATTTCTTTGGCATGTACAGATTATATACCTGGAATTGCAGCAGCACTACAATCAATAAACCACGTTACTTACTTGTGTGACAGACAGGACACTTTGCCGACTTGACAGCAGTATCCAAGAATTGTCACGTACGGAAGAGGCCTTTCATTCCTTTCAATCCATACTGCCAAAAATACACTCTGAACGACACTTGTCTCCCACTCTCCTGCACTGAATTGACCCTTCAAGTGCTCATCCATGCACTTATTAAATGTTGTGAGGTGCCCCACCTCAACTATCCTCCCAGGCAGTGCATTCCAGACTCCCAACACACTGGGTTTTTCCCCCACAAGACTTTTCCTCACATCCCCTCTTAACCTCCTGAATTTCACTTGAAAAGTGTGCCCCCCCTTGTTCTTGACACTTGGACTGAGGGGAAACAGCTGCTTTCTATTCACCCTGTCCATGTCCCTTACAATCTCAATCACCTCTATCAGGTCCTCCCTCAATCTTCTCTGCTCTGAAGAAAACAACCAGCCTCTCTTTCCAGCTAAATGGTCCATTCCAGGCACCATCCTGGTGAATCTCCTCTTCAGTCCTTTCAGAACAGTCTCATCCTTCCTCCCTTAAGAGCGGTCACATCCTTCCTTTAGAGTGGTGACCAGAATTGCAAACATTACTCCAGCTGTGGCCAAACACAAGTTCTCTCCTGCCAAATCCTGTCTGTTCTTGAGTTTGTACAGGTCCTTGCTGCTGTGCCAGGAACCTGAAGCTCCCTCTGCTGTCCCACTTTTCTAGCTGTAAACTGGGAAGAATCTAGACAATGCTACTTTTTAAGATCCCGTTCTTGAATCAGTTTTCTGAAATTTCCTCCGCACCTTAACTTTTAACTGGTTTGTGTCATTTATTTCAACATAGTTTCCTGATCCTGGCACCAGGGAGGCAACAAACTGTAGTTGCAGCAATGCTCCTTTAAGCCTTGGCAAATGTGCCTGAACTTGTACAGTTGTTTCAGTGTATTGCTGGGTCTCTCAAAGTGCCATGTGTGTTTCTGAGTGTAGTCTGGAGGTCACGAAGCTCATGCCTGCTCAGCCCTGATCTTAGGTAGGATGTTAACATCGTTGTTGGACTGGCATTCTTCATCCATCCCAAATTATCCTTGAAGGTGCTGTCAGGAGGCAGGTTACCCTGTCCAGGATTTTGTCCTAGAAACCATCCGATCATGACAATGACTGTCCAAGTCCGAATGAATGGAGACTGTTAAACAACGGAGATGATGATAAACTCTAGAATCTGCTGCTGTAGCCCTAAGAGGCAACAGTGGTTGCATTTTAAGGAGTGCTGTGCAACCACTTCCTGAATTGCTGCAGTGCTTCTCGTCAATGCAGTCTGCAGGTGGGAATTCATTGTGTCACAGCAGCATGTAAATTTCCACAGATTAATAAAATTTTGTGAAATCTGGGTGAGTTTAGAAAGTAGAAGTAAATGGAATGTATTCTAATATTTTCTTGAGTAACATAAAATAAGCAAAGACAAGTGGCAACAGAGATCATTTGGAAAACATATTGTTCAAGAAGACTGATTGATACTGGACAGTTTTTTGTGTCCATGTGAGTCAAGATTAAAAACAAGAAATAAATTGAAGTTAGCAATGAAGTTGGATAACAGATTGCACACTAAGGGAAGAAAAAGGAACAGGAAATCTGTTGACAGAACATGGAGATGAACAATTATTGTTTAAGATTTTAATTGCACATTGGAGTGTTAACAAGAAAATATGTACATGACTTATGAGCATAGATCAAAATAACTTAGTGACAGGAGACAAAAGTGGGCCGAGCATCGTGGGAGTGGTGACTGTAACATGTTGAGATTGCAGGTCCAAATAGAACTCTTTTTCTCTGTTTGTGGGACGTGAGTGTCACGAGCCGGGTCAGCATTTATTGCGTGTTGCTTATTGCCCTTGAGAAGACGATGAACTGCCAGTACAGAAGTAAGATGGAACGTAGAAGTTGATGACGATGACTCTGCACCAAAGTGGAAAGTGATGTTGAGAATATAGGATTGAAGATCAACAGCTGAATTTTTGAAAAGCAGTTCGAAAAGTTTTCTTCTTGGTTCAGTGGATGTAGATGCGCTGGAAAGGGCTGAATTTATTGCTTATCCCCAGTTGCACTGTTAAAAGGTTGTGATCTTGAGCCTCTTTATTGAACCATTCATTGTAAGTGACTTCAGGACAACCATACAACTGTATCATGTGGAGTGGGTTCAGTGATTTTGACACAGTGACTGCAAATGATCGGTGATGTGCTTCCAAATCCAAACCAAATAAAGCTGTAAACATGTACACCATTAAAAATCAAGATTAATCCCTCTGCCACATTCCAAAATTTGAAATAATCGATGGAGGGATTAAAACCAGATTAAACATATCAGCAGGTATAGCAATTTCATTTAAAAAAAAAGTTACATTTACACTTTGAATGGAGGAAGGCTGTCTGTTGTTTAAGAGTAGGGGCATTTGTATGTAATTGACCAAATTTACAGAAGAGGCTTGTCACATGGCAAGAAGTAAGAAACGAGTTGAATAGTGAGTTTTAGGAAGACCACTGGCAGCGTACTATGGACAGTTTGGGCTGCATATGTTTGGAAGTATGTTGGAACAAAATGTAAATTGGGCAGAGAACCTTACTGTGCTGCTTGATAGGATGAAATAAAATACAAATAAAAGACTTCTAAAATTGGAACCATTTCCTGACTGCAAGATTTTCAGGGATTACTCAACAGAATTTTTTTCAAGGAATGGGGCAGAATAGGTAGATCCAATCTGTTTCCAGTGTTCGGATGGTTAAAGAGAAGATGTTGATATTGGATGAAATAAAAAAAACTTGGAGACCAAAATGGCTGTTTTTAAAAGAACTGCAAGGTTTCAAGGCTGTCTGTGCTTTAATGAACAACTGCATAATGTTGACATTTAGACACAGTTTACAAATGATTACAGAATAATAGGGTGGTTCAAGTGGCAGTCATCTGGTTAACCTTGGGATCTGAGCAGGCAAACAGAACTGCAGGAAATTTTAGACGTAAGGTTCAGGAAAATGAAAATGAGATTTTGAAACAGGAGCTGGCAGTAATTTAGGAATAGTGGAATGTGGAATGAGATTTTGAAACAGGCGCTGG